ATTCGTAAATCACACTTTTACACACTTTTATTCCCACTGAGAAGCCCACAGGCAGCCAGGACACAGTCTGTGGTACTGGCAGAGTTTGTTGGCAGGCGGGCACCCTTTTTTTTTCACAGCTGATTTGTATTCCCAATAGATTGATGGAGTTGTCACAGATAAATTAACTCAAAGGAGATGCAGGCAGGAACTAAGTGGTGAGGTTCTTCTGGTAAAGAAAAACAAGGATTAGGTTAATTAAAATCAAACAGCTAACTTTTGGAAGCCTATTTGTAAAACAGGAGCAAAACAAAACGAAAATCAGAATTGCAATTTCATGTATAAACTAGTGGAGACAAAGCTCCATTACCATCTTTCTAGATTTTCACCTGCAGAACGTACGAAGGTCAATTGATGGAAGCTGTTATTCTGCACACCTGGGCATCCTTTTTGCAAGAAACGATCCTCCCTCCAAAGAGAGGTGGACTTTGAGATTTATTTGCAAAATGGTTGTAAACCTCTGGAAATCCTGAATTAAAAGGTACTAAAAGGAAAGCACCACTAGGTATCATCATTTGACAAATCCCAGAAAAATTAATCACCTTCCATAGGGGCTTTTTTCCCACCACTGACAACAGAGAGCAGGTTGGGGAACGACATCCCAAATCCAGGTCTCGGTTAATTGGGTAGATTTAACAAAAAAGCCCAGCTTATTCCAGCATCCAGGTCCCAGTACCTGATAAGCGTTTCTTTTTAGGAACATGGAATGAGAACTGGATAGGAAAGCGAAAATTCCCTGCCAGAATTCTCCTTCAATTTCAGATTTTCTGGCACGTGGATAAACTTAACTGCCAGCCAGAATCTGGCCTGACTCGTATGACCTATAAAACACGGCACTGCTTTCATTTGTAATAAAATACATCTGCTGCCCTTCAGCAGCCTGGAAAAGCACACCTTTTTAGTGATTTTCCCTGTGTAATTTGAGTTCACTGAGCCATTTTTCCTGCTAGTGAAAACGGGCTCAGCTCCAGTGCAGCTGATGGAGTTGTGCTGAAATTCAGAATGGGACTCAGTATCTTTCAAACATAAATAAATCCGTAGCATGTCATGGATTAAAACATGTCAATTAAAACAAAACTGAACCAAAAATAGTATCTAGGTGAATAATCAAATTATCTGCCTCATCTTTCCAGAAATTACCAGATTTTGCTCCTAAATTCTGCAGCAACACCGCAGATGTATTTGTTCTTACAAAGAGAAGAGAATTTTGAGAAGTTATGTAAATTTTGGATTGAAGCAGAGTAATAAATACAAAGGTGGAAAAAGTACACAGACAATACATTACCATTGGCAAAACCGTGTAGCATAAGTAACAAAATACAGTCTGTGGTGCTTTGTGTTAACAACGAGCACCTATCTACACCCTCACTCTTACTGCTAAAACACACCTTATTTTGCTAAAAGTAGCTGCACAAATTAGCTGAAAACTCATTTTCCCTTTCCCTCCTCCAAACTGCACGTTTATTTAAATTCTAAAAATGAAGTCATCTTACGTTTTCCTATTAGAAAAGCAAGCCCCAAAAGCACGCCTGCAATGAAGTCATGTGTTATCCCTAGAGGTGCTAGACATCTCCTTGCTCCGTGTGCATCCGTAACGCGGCTGGGCTCAGCAGAGCTGCTGTAACGCACCGTGTACCACGCTCCTCCTCTCCATCAGGCTGTAATACGGGCTGTAATTATAATAAAGGCTACAGAGATGCTTTTCTCATGACACTGCTTGGTGTGTTGTGTTTTCTTTTCATTCCAGCTGAAATCGTCCATGCATTTGGTAAAACTAACTCAAAAATGGGCTCTGAAACCAGTCCTGAAAAGGCACGGAGCAGACACAGCTTCACAGTAACCTCAGCTGCTGCTAAATACAGAAAATTCATTTCCACATGCTCTTCTGCAATTCTTTAACAGCAATGGGAGAAGAAAATCCATCAGGTTTCTCCCACTGCAGCACTGGACATTGCTCAGCAGCTTCTGCTGCTTCTGTCAACACCAGTGTTGAAGCCACAGTTGGCTTTAATATGCTGGGCTGGGGTTCTGGGGTCAGCAGGAGAGACCACCAGGCCTCCTCTAACACATTTCTCAGGGCTGGGAAGGACAGAAGAACGCCCAGAGCCTGGACCTCAGCTTTAAACTCTGACTTCCACGTTTTCTGAGGAAGAACCTCATGCAATTAACTTATTTCAACTTGGGTTTGAACTATAAATACATCCCAGGGGAAATGAAAGGCCAGGGCAAGGCAGCAGAAATGCCACAGAACACTCTTTTCTACAGGAATTCTGATGGGAATTTTGGATCAGGCAAGGATGTTCACTTAGGTCTTGGAGTCTAATTTAATTATTTATTACGTACTC